TGGTATCCACTTTAAGGTATATTTATGTAGTATTATTTTAAATGTTAAAAAATTTAATTATAGTACGGAACCGAACGGAACCGAATAGAACCGAACCGAACCGAACCGAACCGAAACCGAATGGTTCCAAAATTATATTTGGAACCGACGGTTCCATTTACTAAATACCCGAAAATTTCTGGAACCGAAAAAAACCGAACCGAACCGAACCGAACCCACCCGCGCCCACCCCTAATTGGTGTTGGTCGAGTGCGAAAGGACTTTTTATTTGTTAATCGCTCAACGTGTCGTTTTCTTGTTTTTTGTGTAATGTGGAAGGATTTTTGGTTGATTTCTTGTGTTTCACCCAAATGGTGATAGGAATACATATTTGCACATGTTGAAAATGTTGATGTTCAATTTACGGTAGAGATGATAGTGGTAACCAATTTATTTGGGGGCAATGCCACATTCGGCTTTGAGATGAGGGCTATAAATTTTTATCTTGTCTTGTAAAAATAAACGACAATGGATGGCGGTGATGGCAGTTGAGGGTGTCGAATAATTGGTGCAGTTTGGGGTGGTGATGCTAGGGGGATTGTAAGAGAGAAATCTATGTCACGACTTAAAACTCAAAAATCATTTCAATTGAAGGATATCATATTTCATGGTCAAATTTGATTTTTTCTATATCATATTTTCTTTTTATAAATTTTTTATAGTTGCTTCACACAGGAAAGAAATTTATGCACACTTCCATTAAAAAATATTGAAATTGGAATGATTTGTTTTATGTCGCTTTTGATTTAATTTTTACGTTTGTAGAGTTGTTTGCTAAATGGATTTGCTCAATATCACATGATATTGATTTTTGTTGATTTAATTTTTACGTCCGTTAAGGTTGCTATGTTTTGGAGTGTGTCTCTTAACTCACAACCTCTTATCTTCTATAAATAAAGCCTTTTGAACGTTCATTATTCATCCCATATATAATTCTGCATTAAGCATTACATCAAAATTTCTTGCAAAAATCATTCCAAAATTATTATTTTTTGTAGAGAGAAAATTTCGTTTGATTTCACTGTTGCTTGTAGATTAAAATGTTTTTACCACAAGTTGTATCCATGATATCTTGGGAGACAAGTGTCATAACCCTTTATCAACGTTGCAAGACAATTTTATGTTAAAGAGAAAATGTTAATCAATTGTCTCGGATTTTTTTCTTCACTTTCTTTTCATTTCTATTTTACATAGAGTTTAATTACGCTCATACGAATTAAATTTTACCATTCACTTTGTCAATTACAAACAACCATTTCATTAAACAAATCACCAACAAAATTCATATTAAAGTAAACAATTAATTTTAACCAATCATTTTATGGATTCACACTATTCAACCACATTTTCTTCAACTTTTATAAATATATACTAAAATTCTGATTTTACCAAAACTAAAATAGGATTTACTATTCTCCTTATAGTGCATATATCTAATGTTGCATGTTCATCAATTTTACATACCCAATTAACATAAAACAATACCAAGTTATGTTTTATAGATGAATCATCAAGTCGAAGTGCTAGCACACCAGCATTGTTGATATACTTTCAAAGAAAAGCATGGATGACATGGCACATCAATTTATCGATGGACACAGGAGTGGAGTAAGCGGGACAATTACTGATCCAATAAGAAAAAAAAATCCATTTTTTTAACCTTAGAAATTTAATTGGGTTGGGAGCGCCTAGGCCTGCCCCCCATTCCCTCCGCCCATGGGTGGATAACGAACTGAATTCAAATATTGAGATTTATTATAAACTTATTCATATATGGATTGGCGTGTCATGTCATCAATGCTGTTTTAGTCGTTCATTTCTCTGTATTCCCAATATTGTTTTGTTCTAACAATTTTGTGCAATATCAAAGGTTATAATCCATGATGATGATAAAGACTAATTCCAAATTTTTGGAGTAAGAATTAATAATTCATTTTTTTAAGGTTGGAGAATATAGAGGAAATTAAGGTATCAGTTGGATTAATCTTAGCTTTAAAACAATCTATATTATATGATTGTGTCTTGTTACAAGTTGTTGATACCTGCAGAACATATATGAAAGGAATTCTGCAACCACAGTTCTCTAGTGCGCATTTAGGTGTTGATAAGGCATTACTTTCTACGATAAACAAATATTTAATACGGTAATAATCTAATAGGCTAAACTAATAATATCGTTTAATTGCATAAAATAATAATTTTTTAAAAATCCCTATGTCCAAATATATTAATTTTTATTGAGTAAATACATAAAAGAAATTGTACATAAAAGTCCATATATAATGCATATTAAGAAACTTTTTACAGCATCTTCAATGTTAATATGAATTACAATAAAAAAAAAAATTGGTTTAATCCCCACCAAACAAAGACTTGATAAAAAATAAAAAATTGTTTTAACCACATATTTCATTGGACCAACAACTTTTCAACTACATATTTTATCAACATTTATCAAAATCTACTGAAAATCTGATTTTAATCTCCACTAAACATAGGCTCGATATATTTTATTCTATGTAGTAAGTAGTCATAAAATATTACTATATTTGGTTATATTAAAAAAAAAATATTTGTTTATACAATGTGTTATTGGGTGACATTGCTTTATACCAAATTTTGTATTATATAGTTTATGGATGAGGCACAAATTAAATTATAATTAGCAAATGATAGTATTAAGCTCTTGTTTGGTTGAGATTAATAATTAGATTTTTAATAGATTTCGATAAAAATTGATAGAATGTGTAACTGAAAAGTTGTAGGTCCCATGAAATGTGCCGTTAAAATTAATTGTTGATTTTGACTTACATTTTAATCAAATTTTTTTTTGAACTGAAACAACATGGGATGAATTAGGTGAAAACTACAGTAATCAGTAAAAAAACAAGCCACTTTATGTATTACATAAGGAATGATATATGGAAATTTGATCAGTTTGGCCAAAAAAACTTGTTTTCAAAGGATCCCTCTCTTCACCTACCTGAGGAAAAACGACATGGCAGCAATGGCCCTTAATTATCTACTATATAATGTTGCGTTGGCCAGTCACACCTTATCACTGCAGCAAACACAATCAACTCAAACATATACTATTTACACAGAGAAGAAATATATATAGAGAGAAATGGAGTATTGGTTTCGAGTTTTGATCCTCGTCGCATGCTTGTACCCTGCATATGTTGAATGTAGGGTTCGTCGTTACCAATTCAATGTAAGTACGATATTTGATGTTTCTTTCTTGACTCTTTTCACGATCTTTTCAAAAGAACATTGCTTTATCGACTCATTCTAAGATCCTTAAATTAAACACGTGCACATTTTATATGTACACATACCTAATTCCTGATATATATTTCGCAATTCTAAATTTGTGCAGGTGGTGATGAAAAACACCAACCGCCTGTGTTCAACCAAATCTATTGTCACCGTCAACAGAAAATCCCCGGGTCCCACTATTTATGCGAGGGAAGACGATACAGTGCTTGTTAGGGTCGTCAACCACGTGAAATACAATGTTTCTATTCACTGGTAAGACATTTATTATTTTATATTGTTGAGTCCTTTCTAATACTTTTTACATAATAAACATGCTATCAAGGAAGAAAATTTAAAGGGTGTTATTTGTGGGTGGTTGCAGGCACGGTGTAAGGCAACTTCGAAATGGGTGGGCAGATGGACCGGCATATATCACACAATGTCCGATCCAGCCAGGGCACAGCTATATGTACAACTTTACCATCACAGGCCAAAGGGGTACACTACTTTGGCACGCCCATATTTTATGGCTTAGGGCAACTGTCCATGGCGCCATAGTCATCTTGCCCAAGCTTGGCGTTCCATATCCTTTTCCAAAACCCGATCATGAATCAGTCGTTATCTTAGGTGAGTAAAAGCCAAAAAAGCAAACTTATATTAATAACATTTTTTAAAAAGCAAAAATTTTGTAAACTGTTCAATCATTCCCGGCCTTCTTACTGATTTGAAGTTGGAAATTTCAAAAATTGGCAGGTGAATGGTGGAAGTCAGATACAGAAGCTGTGATCAATGAGGCACTAAAATCTGGTTTGGCACCAAATGTATCAGATGCTCACACGATAAATGGCCATCCAGGACCTGTTCCCAATTGTCCTTCCACAGGTACCTAGAAATGCTTAACTTTTAGGCGAGACAGTTCAACTATATTGACACTATTTATTTGACATAATATATGACAATACTATCAATTGATTTTCCAGTTGGCTACACGTTGAGTGTCAAACCTGCAAAGACATACATGCTACGTGTCATCAACGCTGCCCTCAATGAAGAACTCTTCTTCAAAATAGCAGGACACAAATTGACTGTAGTGGAAGTCGACGCCACATACGTCAAACCTTTCAAAACCAACGCCATTTTAATCGCTCCTGGCCAGACGACAAATGTAATTGTATCAGCTAACCAGAATGCCGGAAAGTACATGGTTGCCGCCTCACCCTTCATGGACACTCCGACGGTTGCAGTCGATAACATGACTGCAACTGCAACTTTACACTATTTAGGAACACTTTCTACTTCTGCTACAACTTTAACAACTCCACCACCTCAAAATGCAACCCCAGTAGCCAACAATTTCATAAACTCTCTCAGAAGCCTTAATTCAAACCTCTATCCTACAAAAGTTCCATTAAAAGTTGATCATTCTTTGCTTTTCACTGTGGGGCTAGGGATTAATCCCTGCCCTACATGCAAAGCTGGAAATGGAAGCCGTGTTGTGGCTAATATAAATAATGTCACTTTTGTGATGCCAACCACTGCTCTTCTTCAAGCTCATTACTTCAATACTAAAGGAGTTTTCACCACTGATTTTCCGGGGAAGCCACCATTTTCTTTTAATTACACCGGTACTCCTCCGGCGAATTTGCAGACTACAAAGGGCACCAAGCTCTACAAACTACCTTACAATGCCACAGTTCAAGTCGTTTTGCAAGATACTGGAATCGTTGCCCCTGAGAATCATCCTGTGCATTTGCATGGATTCAATTTCTTTGCTGTTGGTAGGGGATTAGGAAATTTCAATCCAAAAACCGATGCCAAGAAATTTAATCTTGTCGACCCGGTTGAAAGAAACACTATTGGCGTACCATCAGGTGGTTGGGTCGCTATAAGATTTCGCGCAGATAATCCAGGTTAGTATTCTTAACGTCATATTTGGTATGCTGGACTGGACAAGACGTGAATGGACTGAATTACACAATTTTGTCTAGTCGAGCTTTAATTTTAGTCTTCTCACCGGGTTCTTTTGTGCATTGCAGGAGTGTGGTTTATGCATTGCCATTTGGAAGTGCACACGACATGGGGACTGAAAATGGCATTTTTGGTGGAAAATGGAAAGGGCTCTAATGAGTCTATTTTGCCACCTCCTAAGGATCTTCCAAAATGCTAAATTTTCTATTACTGTCAAATTTCACAACACAGCTGCGGATAATCTTCTTCGGAGAAACTGAAGGAAGAAACTGGAGGAGAAAGAGAGAGTCAATAAAAAAAATAAAAAATCAAATTTTGTTTGTGTATTTGTTGTATTCAAAACATTGCCCATTTGTTTCTTGAGTGAAGTAAATTTTGCTCAAGCAGAAGAAAATAATTATATATATTGTACATTCCAATTTTTTTTGCGAAAATTAATAAAGATCTCATTTTTATGATGTGAATCATATTATTATTATTATTATTATTTTGTAGATTATTATTCAAATATTAGATCGTGTTGGTCATTGAACTGTGCATGAATAATTAATTCCCCTGACTAGTCAGTCTGGTCTTGACATTTGAGAAAAAGAGAGTGACAAAAGAGAGAAGGATAATAGTCTCATATGAAACACTGTTCATTTTTATTAGCTCATTAGGATATGTTATTTCAAGATGGGTAATTAGTACATAACGCTTTTATCTTTCATTATTATTGTGGAAAATATCTTTATCTTTCATTTTTGGTATTTTCACATTTTATTGAACAAAATGTCATTTTCATACATTTTTTTGAAAGTTGTGAAATGACGAATATACCCTTCTATTTAAATAAAACAAATGGAAAAATAAAAAACTAATTGCAACTATAGTTCCAAATTTTTAGAAAAAATGCAAACAAATCCCAAATAAATTATTAAAAGTGTAGTTAGCAAATGATATCTCTACATTTCACTATTATTTTAAAAAAGTCACTATCTTTTACTTTTTGACATTTTCACTCTTAATTAAACATTTGATTGTACAAACCATCATTTTTATCCATTTTCATTCAATTTCTCAATAAAAAGTTGTGAAATGACGAATATACCCTCATATTTAGGGCGTGTTCGGTATAGATTAAAATTGAAAAATTAGTCGTTATTGTTGACTTTTATTAGACGAGTAAGACCTAATAACGGCTATATTTTCAATTTTAATTGGATTTTAAGCACGATCGAACACGTCCTTAAATTTTAAAATAAATAAAAATAATTTATTTGCGATTCGTTTGCATTTATTTTAAAAAAATTTATGAGTATAGTTGCAATTAATTATTATTTTTCTTTTCTTTTTTTTTATTTATATTTTATATTTGCGATTCGTTTGCATTTTTTTTAAAAAAAATTAATTTTTAATTTTTTAAATAATTAATTTGGGACTCGTTTACACTTTTTTTAAAAAAAAAATTGAGACTATGGTTGCAATTATTTCTTTATTTTTTATTTAAATAGGAGAATATAGTCGTCATTTCACAACTTTTTTATTGTGAAATTGATGAAAGTGGATAGAAACGATGATTTGCGCAATCAAATGTTTAATTAAATGTGAAAATACCAAAAAAAATGAGAGCTATGAACGTTTTTCACAATAATAGTGAAAGGTGTGGACATTATATGCTGATTACCTTTTTAATAATTTATTTGAAACTCGTTTACATCTTGTTTCATTAAATAGAAGGGTATATTCGTTATTTCGCAACTTTTAATTGAGAAAATAGATGAAAAATGACATTTTACCCAATGAAATGTGGAAATAAGAGTAAAAATACCCCAAAAAAATGAAAAATAAGAACGTTTTCCACAATAGAATAAAAGGTAAGAACTTTATGTGCTAATTACCCTTTTAAAATTATTCAATATAAAATAATTTATTTTATATAATCGGTTGACTATTTAAATCGGCCCATAAAAAATTATCTATAATAATAATAATACTAAAAAGAAATTTCAATTAATATGATGAGATATGGCCGAGTGCCTTGCACTTGTTGGCTATGGGATAACTTGACAACACCAACTATGGACAATGCTAGATGAACAGGGCCGACGGGCGTCAATATGACACCCCACCTATAGGAGGGTACCATATCGCACACCTATTTGAACAGGGCCACGTGACCCTATTATAAGTGCTTTACTCCACTAGCAAATGCACATTGCATCATTAATTGCCACGTCCAAAGACACGTTAGCAAAGTTTCCACATCAATCTTCCACGTGGCCACCTAAGTCTCAAGAATTGTTACATCATTTATTTGAAGAATTTTAAGTACAATCATGCCATTTATACAACTTTCTTTCCAATGTCACACTGACATATATCACATGGACCATGCTAGAATACCAGAAAATTTTTGACAGAGGGGCTGACCTATACTCACAATTTTTTTTAATAATATAAAATTCTCTTTGTTGAAGTACTATATTGCCCTTAATGAAATATTTTACAAGGTAAGTCCTATATCTTTCAGTTGCTAGATAATTGGGAGTTGTTATCTTATACAATTTTTTTCTAACTTTTCTATTTGTTCCAAGTATTCCCTATATTCAATTAATTTTTCATAAGCTCTAGATTGATCTTTACTAGTTATACATCCAAAAACAATTCCTTCTGAAACTTCTTTTTTTATATTTTCGTATTTAGTTATGATGTCTTCAACTCTTTTTATTTCTTTACTAGTTTCTACAGAGTCAAATCTTATATTATGTCTACAAGCATAATTTATATCAAAATATATTTCTTTAAGTTTTTCTTGACCAACAGGAACTATATCTTCAGATTTTTCAACAATACTTAATAAAAATGAAATATCTTTTTCATCTAAATATAATCTAAGACAATCATTATTAGAAGTGGATGCTTATGAAGTGTTCATGAAGATTAAAATATAAAAGCATGTAAATAACTTACAGTAATCAGTAGAAATAAACAGGCTTT